TTCAACCTGGCCAAGCCAATTAGGGAGGAATCCATAGTTGATTTCCAACTAAACCTTTACAAAGCCTGCTGTAAAGTGCCCCAGAAATGCTGAGCTGGAAGCACAAAGACTGGAAATACTCCTGGGCACAGACCCCATTGGTTTGGTCTTCTTAACTCTCCAGCAGCCAGGGACCTTTGAAAATAATCACCAGCCCTATACCGCCTGATGCTGGAGACAATTAAAATCTTGGCCTTGATTACCTGGGCTTAGGTAAAAATAACAAGGAGGAGTGAATTAAACTAAACAAGGTGACATCCAGCAAGGACATTCCAGGGCAATCTGTTTAAAGAAGAAAAACAGCATATTAGGTAGAACAGAGTGGACACTGGCCAGGGTTGATGGAAAAGCTCTTGATGGAATACAACTCTGATTTTTTTATTCATTTATTGAAAATTCTTCAGTGAAAATATCTATCTTCCCATCACACACACACACACACACACACACACGCTAAAGTGTAGATCCTTGGTCTGGCATTCAAGACCTTTTGTGATCTGGCCCTAACTTATTTTTCCAGACACATTTCCTCCCCACCCATGCTCTGTAGTCAGGACTAATACTTAGCTGGTATGCTTACAGGTCAACTCTGCGTGCTTTCCAACCATTTCAAAACCATTTGTTGTTTCCCAAACTCACCACGCTGTCCACATGTTCTGAGCCTTTGTACATATCACTACTATCTGTAATTTTCCTTCTCTTCTTGCATCCTGGAAGAATTACTATTTATCTTTCATGTTCAACTCAAACCCAACCTTCTCTATGAAGACTCTCTTCTATCCCAGGCCCTACCATTTTACCCAGGCGGAATGAGTGCCATGGGAATCTCTCCTCCCCACTCCCATAATGCCTTGCACATGTCATTCTATTTGTTTATTTGACTTGCTCCCTAGATATTAAGTCCTTTGAGACCATGAACATGTTTGATTCTTTTCTGAGTCCTCACCATTTTGTGTGACCCCCATGCTCAGAGGTTATCTGTTTTATAAATACAAACTTATTTTCATCAGTTGCAAACACAAAACAAACTCCCAAAAAAGCAGACAACTAAGTGAAAAGCATTGCACTTAGTGATGGTTAGGCAAGATGGGGACATGAAACTCCTCCACACAGCAGTTCTCAGTGCTGTAATTTGCACCAAAGGCTTTGAAGAAAGTTGCCATCAAAAAGTCAGTTAGGGGAGTCCAATTTTAATAAAAATAATTACAGCTTTTTTTTTTAACTTTCTATAGTTTAGTCCAGGGGTTGGCAAACTTTTGAGATGGAAGACCCGCCAGGGGTCAGCATACTGCGGCTCGCGAGTCACATGCGGCTCTTTAGGTACAAACATGTGGCTCTGAAGTAAAATTTAAAATGAAAATAAACTTTTTTTTTTTTTTTTTAGCTCAGTCATCTGCCACCTGTCGGCAGTTCAGCTCTGGCTGGGAATCGACCCTGTTACTCAG